TTTGAGATTGGATAGTCTGACAGAGGCTCATCCATAGAGAATACTAACTTTCCCTCTCTCAACATTCATTAATTACTATAGCTCTTTACTTATGGGTAGAGCCCTGGGAGATTTCCTTATCCTTGCTAGCATGTAATTTGGTGTTGTGATTGTTGAGGTTTTGGTTAGGCAAGCATATAGTTGAAAATTCTTTGGCACAGTTTCCTTGTCATATATAGAAGACACAATCTCAAGGAGACATCCTTGTACTCTGACTCTTAACAATCATTCCACCTCAAATTTGAGATGATCCCTGAGCTCCAAACAAGGTGTTTATGATACAGATAAATCATTGGGGCTGAACATCCTGTTAGGTCTGCTGTTCTACATATTTGAACACATTTTAGAATTCTTTTCTATCTGTGCAAATAGAGGCTTCTTTCTTCTTTGATGACTATATGAGCTACATTTAGCTGTAGTTACCAAGATATGTGCTTCAATTTATCTAGAAATTATAATAGTATTTTAGTTTAGTAAAATGCTATTATAGTGGGCATAGAATTTTCTCCTCAAGGATCCATGGCACTGTAGCTGCTTTCCCTCCTATCAAGCAGATCTTAAGCCAAATTAGACAGTTGCCTGTTAGCTCCAAGATTTAAATGCCACTATTGCAACTTGAGGGATATGTTCACATGCTGTTTATTATGTGTGTAGGCATCATGACAAAGCCAAATTACTGATTGTTCCCTCTGCATCCAGCTTTCAAGGAAATTTCAACTAATATAATATCTATTTCTCAGAGAGAAGACATATACCTCAAACCCTTGTGCCCTATTACTACAGCCTGTCTTTAATAGTAAGGACCTATCTTAAAAGTCTAGGAGGCAATCGAGGACAATAACAATATCCTTTATTTTTGGGAAAACTCTTGGAGCAACCTGGCTAAAAATTGAAGAGAGGTTTCTCCTGCCTGGTTCTGGGTTTCTATAATTCAATGGACCTTGGTGAGGTGCATTCTCATCCAAACTAGCAAATATATATATATATATATATGTATATATATATATTATGCAATTTTAGGTAAGCAATATAATGAGTCCTTATAACTTTTCAAACACCCATAATGTTATTTCAGCTTTAATCAACTTGTGGCTCATGCCAGTCATCATGTACTACCTAAGCAGAATGGCTCATGTTGTAGTCCAGAAAGAAAAGACAGAGAGGGGGTTGGAGGTGAATGTGGAAGGAGAGGAAAATGAAGAGGGAGAGGAAGAGTGTAGAGAAAAGAAACAACTGAATTTTAAAATATGCCATGCATCTGAACAGAGAGTTGTCAAAAGAAAACAAAAATGACTAAGAACTGTTTCCAGAAGGGTACATCATGCTTAGTAATTAAGGAACTATAAATTGAAACTACATTGAGATTTCATATTACCTCCATGAGAATAGTTAACATCTTGCAGCAAATGCTGATGGGGATATGGAGAAAGGGGAGCTCTCATTTTCTAATGGTGGGAATCCGAACTGGTATAATAACTTTAGAAATAAGTATGGAGAACTCTCACAAACACAAAGAACAAATCTACCATATGACCCAACTACACCACTTCCCAAATTTGATCAAAGGACTTGACATCCACATATACATGCTCTACATATTCACAATAGGTAATAAATGGAAACAACTTAGAGGACTTCAAGTGATGAATAGCATAGAAAAATGTGGTATATATACAGAATGAAATAATTTTCTGAGAGTTGATTCTATGCCCTTATATTGCCCCCTAGAGAACAGTAAGAGACCTACAGCTTGTGTCTGTGGTTACAATAGGAATGGTCACCAGACTCAAAGTCTCTAAAATGAATAGATACTTGGGAACAAGTGCCTTGCAGGGCTAGTCATCATGCTTACTGTGACTCTAGGCAGGGTGGAGTGAATCTAGTGAGAGTTTTTGGTATTTTCTGATAATTCCTGATCCAGCAACAAAAATATTATGTATTTAAAGGATAGGCAGGCTCAGTGCTTCCAAAATATCATATGGAAGACCTGCCATTTTCTTGAAATTAAGGGACAGAATATCAAAATATGGGTTACACGTGCACTCAGCTGGTCTATCTCTTGGTCTAATCTCTTTATGCAAAATATGCTAATGGATATGCAAGTGAGTAAGCAGAATATTATTTATTATCCAAAAGATGTGTTTTGTGCTCTCATCTAAAGACTCTGTGTTCTAGTTTTGATTCTGCTGTTGTGCAAACACTCTGAAATCAGCAATGTGTGGAGCAAAGGGCTGACTTGCCGGAAACATTGAGGTCAAATCCATCACTGAATGAAGACAGAGTAGAAATTCAAGGCAGAAAACCGAAGGAAGGAACTGAGAAAGAGTCGTATGCGGCCTCTCTGTTTCTCTCTTTGTCTCTGTCTTTCAGTACCCCATCCATCCACTGGCTCAATTTTATCTAGCTTACTGAAATAACCCAGGACCACCTGAATAGTGATGGCACTACCAACAGTTGTGTTGGAACCTCTACCTCCATCAGGACAATTATGACAATTCCTCAAAATTGCTTCTGCAGAGTGACCTGATTAAAATGAATCAGTTGAGACCGAGGCTCCACAATGGTCACTATATACTGGATCAGTTTGACACTTAATTCAAACTAAGACAAGAAGGATAGGTTTATGGAATTAACAGAACAAATCCAAATATGAAATCACCAAAACAATTCTCATTAGAAACCCACAGTAGTTCTGAGACATATTAAATTATAAAAATACCACTTAAATTGAGTCTAGGAGTGCATTGAAGTAGGTACTTCTGTGCCAAGGACAACATCCTAGATTCCAACACTAGGACATCATAATGCTGAAAATCCTCAACTACACTCACTAGTGTTAATAAATTATGAGTCGATGGATGTCACATTTTACCATCTCAGGTGAAAAGCCTGAGCTTTGTAAGACAGAAAAAGTGCCCCCATATCATACTTGGCTCCTTGATGGACCTGGATGAATCTGCAAGAGAAACCACATGGTTACTTGGCCATCATAGTTGTTGATATTCCTGTCATGAAACCAACAGGAACTGAGGATTCTTTCTTTGGCCAAGTGTATTTACACAGTTGCAGCCCTTATGGAAAAAAGATACTCACAAATAAAGTTTGTGCTTACTGGGTCAGATTATGTTGCAGTCAGTGAGTCCCAGGCTACTCACCCATATCATTCTGAGTCACTTCTAATGGCATTCAGGAAAGTGAAAGTTCTTTTGATATCAAAAAGCCTCGACCTAACACCTCAGAGGCACTGACCAGTTAGCCAACACATGGTAGGTTATATCCTGAGTCTAAGGTTCACATGTTAATGCTACAGAATCCTTGCCTTCTGATAGGCTGGAGTCATTGCTTATGGTTGTGAGTATCAGTGCTGTGCAGAAAACAGGGGGATATTGCTCTGTGTGGGATCTCTAATACTTGGAATGGCCCAATTACACTATTGTTAATCTCTCAACTCCCTGCCAACCATAATGTGAAGAAAATAAATGAGAAGATGAATCTCAGAATATACAGGAGAACATGAGTGCCCAGATATAGTTGTACCTCCTGTTTTCTGTGGGAAAACAATCACTATGTTACATACAAGCTGAGCTATATGGCTTGATGGTAGACAGATCTATAATGGCCATATTTCCAAAGTATGTTATCTCTCAAGGTACATTAACCATCACTACTCAGCATGGGCCACTGCCCACCAGGCTTTAATGTCTAACCCTGTCCTAGTTATAGGTGACGATGAGCATTCACATGTTGCTTCCCTGGGAAGCCTCACAACCTGTCCTCAGGACTTCATGTATGAACAGTAACCTCAACTAGGAAGCCAGGTGCAGATCTGCTTTCAGCTCATTGGTTGGACCACACCATGAGCCATTGGATTTAAGTAGTCCATGATGACTGGCATGAGCCACAGGTTACCAAAGGATGAAACATGATTATGGAAATTATCTAGGAATGTGTAGGATCAGGAAGGCTTTTTAACAAAATCACCTTCCTATCCATGGGCTTTAATGTTCTTTTTCACATACATGTGGACCATATAGAAAGTTTTTTTGAGGTTCAGATGCATCCTGTCTATATAAATTGTTGAAACAAGAATGATGTGCCTGTGTTTGACAGGTGTGATGGTTACTTTGTATTTCTTAACAAAATCTAGGGACACATGGGGAAGCTCAAGTAATTGCCTGCATCAGCTTGGTCTGTTGATATGTATGGGGAGAACATACTTTTTATAGATGGATGTGTGAGGACCCAGACCACTGTGGATATTGCTATTGCTAGGCAGGTGGTCCTAGGCTACACAAGAAGAAGGTATCTCTGCAAACCATGGAGAGTATGCCACAAAGTATCATTCTTCCATCATCTCTAACTTACTTCCAGTGGGTGAGATTAAAGATACAAATACATAATAATAGTTCATAAAAATCAGTAGAACAAAGTTGATTCTTCAAAGTGATTAATAGTATTCACAAATTTTAATGATATTCACTTGGTTTTTAATAGATAAACATTATTAGTTCTAGAAGTGAAGACTGACACATTACTGTCCATTCTTCAGAATTTTAAGAATTCCAAGAATATTTAATAGTTTTGATAATTGTTGAGTGACCAGATGAATCAAAAACATTCCTAGAAGTGCAAAATGTAAAGAACTAGAAACATGAAGAAGCATATAACTAATGCAATGAATAACCAATAAAATAAACCAATGAAGACATTTGAAAAAAATTAACATTCTTTTTATTTTGTTTATCTTTGTTTTTTCAAGACAGGGTTTGGATGTCCTGGAACTCTCTCTGTAGAACAGGCTGTCTGGGAATAAAGGTGAGCATCACCATCATCCAGCTAAAGTGAATAGCTTTTGAAAATGAAGACAGGTAAACCAGTGATAGGACACTACACCAGTGCTGTAGGGGCCCACTTGAAAACATTGAGCCAACTCTGCTATAGCATGAGAGATCACTCACTCATCATGGCCAGGAAACTGGGAGACTGGTCTTCACACTCAATCGATTGGAGACCTCACACTGATACTCTCCAGCATCTGTGCTCCTGACAGGATCTATTTTGAGTCCACACTTTGTAGGAGACAGAGTCATCCTCTTTGTGAGCAGCAGATTCTTCTTATTGAAGATCCAACGGATGAAGGTATCAGTGTCGGGTGACATGCAGGTAAAGATCACAGATGTACCTCCTGTGATTGTATTATCAGTGATTTGCACAAATGGCTGTGTCACATGCTCTGTGAAGAAACAGGAGGGTACCTAATGACAATAGTCCAGAAAATTCAAACATTCCCTCCTTCCTTCATTTTTTATAAAACTTCCAGTGAGGAGAAGTTGGAGCTATGATTTTAGAAATATCTTGTGCTTTGCATCTGACACCCAGGGTCTATGTTACCCTAATTCAGACACTGTTTCTTGAGTCTCAGTTTCCCTGTAATAGTACACACAGTGCATGATCATTGCTGCATCCGTGAATTAAGCAACTAGCTGTGGGAGTTGCTCACATCAGCAGCATTTGTTGCTATTTACCTGCAGAAGAGAATCCCCTAGGCTGAACCCTTGAGTTGAAGGAGGAATCTGGAGTAACTGCCTCCTCTGTTTCTTCCCTTGTTGCCTTAACATTCCTGAAAAGTCTCATAAGACCATCTGAATAATAGGCTAATGACCTGGACACCTTCCACAGAGCCTCAGGAGAAGGCGATGCATAGTTTACCTACCTAACTGTAGCTGCCATGGCAGTACACAGCTCATTCTACACTCTATGTAATAGTCAATCCCATTACTTGGACAGTCAGTCCCATGTAAGCTATAGCAGGGAATCTAAACAGTTACAAAAAGCTCCACAGTGTCACCTTGTGTCCAGCCAGGGTGAACGTTTTGGAGTCAGGGCTTCCTATTTCCTCTCTAGGAGGACCCCATGGCTTCATGAGCTAGGGACTGCCTGATTCCCACAGAGTGTTTCTGGGGACATGTACATTGTGAGAGCTTCAAGTGTCTGGACAGCAGCTGACATCCTGGGGCTGAGGACACCCAGCACAGGTCTTCCTATCTACAAGTAAAAAGGAGTGGGGTTTGATATATTACAGTTTGCCTACCCAATGTGTGTCCTGCAGTAGGGACCCAAATCCCTGTGGATGGATACAATGCAATGGGAGAGAGGTCAGACACATCCCATTCCCGCCAGTTTAGTGTATAAGTCATAGATAGTTACTTACTATTTACATGGAATTCCACATATGCTTCTTCAGTATTGAAGTCTTTGTTTAAAACTGCTAGTGTGTAGATTCCTGCATCTTTCTTGGTGACATTCTGGAGCATCAAGGATCCATTATTGTACGCTATCCCTTTTATGTGTGCAGGTCCCCAGGAGATGGAATTCACGATGCTGGTGTATTTTACAATTTTATTGGCCGGGGTCCTAAACTCTGATTTGTACCAGAAAAAGGCTTGCAGGTCTTCTGGAAGATTATGAACTTGGAGAAGTACATCTTCCCCTTCAGCAGCATACCGAGGCACAGGTTGGATCATGAGTTGAGAAGAAGTGAGAGGGTTACAGTACAGAGAAAGGGAAGCTGGGAGGGAAAAGAGAAAAAACCATCACGTGGGTATCATTGTGCTTGGTGAAAAGATGACCTCCATCCTGAGCAGATGGAAAATTGTCACTCAGCTTAGAGTTGCAGGTGTGTGTGTGTGTCTATCCCATATAATGTACAGAAACATGACCTCCTTCTTTCCAACAGTGTCCCTGAAAGTGTCAGGTCCTCTGTCTCCTTGGGTGTCTGCGTGGCTGCTCCCTCACTGCCCTCAGTTAGACACTGCACACACTCATGGTAAATGGGGTTTGAGATGATGCCTCCCCTGAACTCAACAGGCATGGAACTTTCACTTTCTAGGTGTTTTTCCTTCAATTTCCTTTGAAGCAGCACTCAACCCCTGACTTCACCGGATAGATGTACTTGCTGCTCTTGTCAAGTACCCCTCAAGTCTGGGGCCATGTGAGTCTAATTACTTTACATCACGTCTCCCCTGATGCAAGTGCAGGCAGACGAAGGAAGCTGAGCTATAGCCATTTGTCTCTACCGGTGTGTCCTGCACTAAGGGCTCATACCTGGGGACACATTGCAGAGGGAAGGGACACTAGGCCAGCCACGTCAGTCCTGTGTGTCCTAATCCCCACCCAGCACTGAACGACCACAGAGAATCACTTACTCTCCACCTGTAGCTTCGCTTGCGCTTCCTCACTGCTCAGATCTGCTCTCAAAATCCGTAGGGTGTACAAGGCACGGTCTTTCTGAGTGACGCTGTGAATCAGCAGGGATCCGTCGCTGTACAGCACCTCCCTGCCACTGTATGCGGGCCCCCACACAGTTGGTTTCCTGTCTGTTATGTTTCGCATAGCCACAAGGTTCCTGAAGTCCGCCATTCCTTTGAACCAGAAAAACTGTACAATATTCTCTGGGGGATTGTGAATGAGTAGGAGAACGCTTCTCCCTTCAACAGCTCTGGGTGGCACTGACTCAATCGTGGGCGGAGCAGAGGTAGCGAAGCGTCCACACTTCCAAAAGAATGCTAGAAGTGAAGAGACAGATCCATCTAAGTTGGAGCTTTCGTAGTTGACTAAGATAAGGCCCTATGTCCTGAACTGCTGTGTCCACTGCCAAGCCTAGGTTTGTGGATGAGTATCTCCCTGTCTTAAATAGAGGAGTTCAGCACATGACCTTCACATTTTCACTGGATCAACATGTCATTTTCTCTATGTGGCTCTTTCCCTTCAGTTGTCAGAATTGCCACAGTTTACTGCCATCGGATCCCTGTTCGCATTTACAACGGAGGCCTGCCCAACCGCTCCCCATACAGATCATTTGTCTTCACTCTCTGACTTTGCTGTTGTTATGTTCCTCTTGTGCTTGCAACCAACACCTAAATTCACCTTAAACCTTTCTTATTTCAAGTCCATTCAAACTTGGACATCATAAGAACCATGAGTTGTCTTGTAATTATTTAAAAATTGATACCTAGAAAAAATCAAATACATGTGGAGACTGAATGAATTAATGATGTTCCGGAACTCTGTATGCCCATGCACTTAGTTTTAGAAACTCATATGTTCTTGGATACAGTATTGAATAATTCCACTTGTTTTGATTTTTATATTCGATTACACTTGTTTGTTAGTAATGCTTGTGTGTGTGTGGGGGTCCCAGGATACAGTAGTTAAGTAGAGGCCAGTGGACTTCTGGTCATTGGTCTCAGATTGCTAGACAATGAAGCAAATGCCTATAGCCATTAGACCATGTCAGTGATGCACACCAGCTTGAGCCTTTATTTGGGCCATCAAGCTGTGAGCATCAGTCTTTAGAAAATTTTGGTTATACTTGCTACCTTCATGCAAGAAAAATGTCTCTCCTGCCCTTACTGCTTAATATTCATTGAGAGCATCCTAATGCTGACCCTTTCCCACTATGTAGCCTCTCTCCTACAAACACTGAGATTCCTCTCATGTCCTTGTGCACTCAAGAGACTGCAGACTGTATGTCTGGTCTCTCCTCTGACACAATCCTAACTCCTAGTTTTCTCATCTGTGAGCAGAACCACATGAGATGTGGTGCACTCTTTGCAGACAAGTACTGAGCGGGCCTCCATTGTTTCAGGGGACTGATCCGTCATCCCTCTGAGGTACTTCTGCTCCAGCACAGCTCACAAGCTCTGCTGTCGTTCCCCTATCTGATATTAGCCTTTCACAGGCAGGAGCACATCCCAGAGTCCCATCAACTGAGGGCTGATCTGTGTTCAAAACACTGCTCTGCCTCTCCAGTTTCATTGCTGCTCCATCATCCTTTCCAATTCTTTCTTGATGTTTCTGTCCTCTAGAACACACAGTTAGAATCAAAAGCAACGACCATCCCTGTGACATGAGACAATAGCAGCTGACCCTGGAACTGAACTCTGTTATATCCTGGCCTAGGATTGTCAGCATCAAAAAGGGAAAATCTGCATAACTGTGTGAGAAAGAAACCCAGCTAGGCACACAGACTATCCTGTGTTCCCAATGCTCCCAGCAGAAAGGTGACAAAACTTCCTTTGTTCAGGTGAGTGAGGCAAAAAAACTCACTGGAGTCAACATCAGACTGTGTTCTGGCCAAGGTGAGAAGTTCAGGATGTGTCAGGAGTATCTTGGGTGTGTGGGAGGAGGTGGCATGATGTCTAGAAAAAGTCTGTGAGCTTCTTCTTCATGCTCTGTTATATTTTGAAGACCATGCTAACAATTCCTCTGCTTTCTGATCTGAACTTTTGCTCCATAATCATTCTGACATGCCTTGGACCTCTATCCAGTTGATTCTCCTCAGATATTGTGTATTTATCAAAGGAAACACATAAAGTAGGGAACAAAACATGATCCCCTGGTAGTGTAGCAGACACATTAAGCAACTCTGAGAATGCTGTAACCCTGATTACCAGGTCTGTAAAAACAGGGTTTGAATCAGGCTACTAGGTAAGTTCAGGCAAATGTTTTCCTGCCAGTTCATTGTGTGTCCTGATGTTGTCCTTGGTGATCACAAGGGAACTGCAGCTCATACCTGGAAACCTGTCAGATCAGCAGAGCCTGTAGCCATTTGCCAGCCAGAGAGAATTCCCTGAGCTGGACCCAAAGAACAAGCATTTGTCAGGACCAACTATGTCCTCTATCCCTCTCTTTAGGGACCGTGACCTCCATGTGAAATCTCATATAACCAACAAGAAAGTTAGCTAATGACCAGGATACCTGTTGAGCTATATTCCCCTGATGACTCTTTGAAGAAGATGGCCAAGGTATGTAGCCCAACCAAGGCTCTCATGACAGTGAAATGTCTGGTTCAAAACATCACAAAACTGTGACCACTAGGGAGTACTGTTCCATGTCCTCAGGAAGTCATATTCCAACACTTGTAAAATGCTTCTCATGGACACCTAGACTTGAGTCTGGGACATAGGTCTGAAGGCAGGGCATCCTGGTGCCCACATCTCTTTGAGGACCCCATGATTTCCTCAACCAGGCACAATATTGATTGCTCAGGTTCTTTCTCAAAGAAACATTCCTGCTAAGAACATATAGTCTAGCCAAAGGCTCATCCTTGCCTGAGTTACCCACCATGCATGAACCTGTGTGCAAGGTGAAGTCAAATGAAGGATTCTGATCTATTGCCATTATTCTATACCATATGTTTCTTGCACTAAATGCTCAAACCCAAACATGGGACACAATGCACATGGAAGGTAGGCACAGACCACTCTCCTGAGTGTGTTCAGTGAAATGAACCTCACCCATCTCACCAAGTTCGCAATAAATCACTTACTGTGCACGAGAAGGTACAGGTATGCTGTTGTTAAGATTTTTCCACGTCTATTATAGGTCCGTAGGGTATAAAATCCTGTGTCCTTCGGGTTAACGTTTTCAATCAGGAGGGATCCATTGTGATATACTGTCTCTCTACCACTGTGCATGGGCCCTGGCTGACTGAATTTGTTGTTCAGTGCATATGTTACAATGCTTTGTGTCGTATTTGTTACACCTTTGAACCAGGTTAAGGCTTTAATTTTCTTTGGCAGATAATGGACTAGGAAAAGGACGTTGTCTCCTTCAGCCACCAAGGGTGGCACTACTTCAGTGATCACATGGGCAGTCGTGAGCAGGTGCCAGGAGGTTAAAAAGGAGGCTGGAAGGCAAGTGAGAAAAAACACTGATATTAAATGGGTGTGATCATCACTCAGCTTTGGTGTGCAGACATGAGCAACATAACTTCCATTGACCAAGTGTCTAAGTATGTCAGTAACTCTCTTAGGAATTCTCTGCTCAGGCATCTGTCTGCCTGGCTCCCCCCAAGTATCCCACATCCCTCCTCACATAGAGTATAGGATGTGAGGAACAATGTCTCTCTAAACTCTTCCTCTGCAGAGCCCTCGATTCTGATGTTGATGTTTTTCTCCATTCCCTTTGCGATTCTATTTAACTCATGGCTTCATCTTTCAGATACACTGACATCAGGTTCACTAGACCAGGACTTTTTGTTTGTTTGTTTGGTTTTAGGTTTTGTTTGTGGTTTTTGTGTTAGATTGTGGATTTTGAGATGGGGTTTCTCTGTGTAGCCTTATCTGTCCTGGAAATTTCTCTGTACACCAGGCTACCCTTGAACTAACAAAGACCACCTCCCTCAGTTGCCCAAATGTTCTATTAAAGGCCTGTGCCACTACTGCTGCTTCAAAACCGGGGATAGGTCTTACCTTTTTTGTGAGGTTCATTTCCTGGAAAATTTTCAGACATTTTCAGATAAAGGAAAAAAGGCAGGAAGGAAAGAGGAATGCATCTCCATCATTTTCTCTTCATAGTTTCTTGGTTTGGAACTTATGACAATAATTGTATTCAAGTGTGAAATGAATGATTATAGATTTATATATGTAAATATATGTGAATTTGTGAAGACTGGTGTCTTCTTGTGCACATATGAAGATGGATTCTATAAGTCTCTGTGTGGGAACAGATATCATGGTGTGCATGTGTGGGTGCATGCCACAGCACCTATGTGAAGGACAGAGTAGAGCCTGCAGGAGTCTCTTCTCTTCATCTTCTGTGTGGAAGCTGAGCATAGGTTTCAGGTTGTCATATCTGCACAAACTAAGACATCTTGCTAGCCCTCCGTATTTGATTTCTATTTGGAGAGTCATGCTGCCATAGTTGGGGACAGCTGTCTTCATAACATAGCAGCCAGTGTAATTCACTGTGAATATTGAATGTTTGAATCTTTTTTCTTACCATCATCACCTCCTGTCTCCGAGAGATTCTGGCTGCTGAGCCTGTCACTCACTGTACCTTCCGGACCATAACAGCAAGCAGAAACATTGAGTCTACTTTCAAGTTTCTGTCCTTCTTAGGAGACCTCAGCCTGCTTCTAAATTCCCCTGCCCACACAGTCAGAGAGTGGGTACCCTTACCTGTGAGAAGAAGCCCTTGCCAGGACATACACCCCTTGCACAGAAACACAGAGGACTGCTCCATCAATCTTCTCACTTGCTCTTCTCCCTCTGAGAAGGGCCTCAGGTCCAACACAGAACTCAGACTCCACTGTCCTTCCTCCTTCTCAGACAGGAGCACTTCCCAGAATTCAAAGGGCTGTGAGGGGAAGGGTCTGAGGCTAAGGCACTGCTTAATCCCATCCACTCTCGGTGCTGTCATCACCCTCTCAATTTCCCTTTATGTTTCCTCTCCAAGCAACACATTGAGCAACAAGGCTGATAAGCATCTCCACTCCCTCAGAGAATAATGACTTTTCTGAGATATGACATCACTGTGTCCTTGCCTTGGGTCTATCTTCACCAAAAACGCAGCCTCCATCATGCTGATGTATCCTTGTGGCAGAGAGACCCAGCTGAGAACCCAGACTACCGTGTGATCTCAAGGCTGGGAACGTGATATTTACTTAATCCATGCAGGAAGATGACAGAAGTTTCTATGAGGGCTAGAAAGAGTCCAGCTGAATGACGACTAGGGATGAACATCAATCCTTTATCATTAATGTCATCAGTCTAACTAATGACCCAGAAGATATTCCCAGGAGAAGTTGTGTGAGGAGTTTCATGTGCTCAGTGTTGGAGAAGTGAGGAGTTTCATGTGCTCAGTGTTGGAGAAGAGGTGACTAGCATGTCCCTGAAAGGACTATGGGCTACATCTTACTGTGGAGTGGTTCAAGGCAACATTCTAGCACTATGTATTGGGTGAGCACATGCCATATCTCATCTTCTTGGGTCACCACTGCACTTTCAAAATGATTTGCTGGTTGTAATCATGTCTTCTCGTATGAGAGACACCAGGAGGGAGGAGGCATTCATGGTCCCCATACAGAAAGGGATTGTCAGACAAAGTAAGGGTCAGTAAGTCAGAGAAGGATCTAGAGAGTAAGCTCCAAGTTAGTAGGGACAGAGATGGAAAGCAGTCTGTTTAGGGAGACAATTTCTAAAGCATTGAGCATATGCCCTGCTATTGCCACCAGAAGATCAGTTGGAGAACTGAAATCTCATGTCTAGGATGACAGCAAGATGACCAAGAAGCCAAATCTGAACTTCCCTGATAAGTTCATCACAGGTGTGATGCAGAGCCTGTCATCCTGATCACTGTGATCCTTAGGACTCTTAATTCCTTCAGCTGTTAGATGGGTCTAGACAGTGCTACAGATTTTCCTGGGTAGCCCTGGACTAAAATTGGAAGTAGTATGTGTACAAAGGAAGGGCATTCTCAGAAGGAGCCTTGTGCTCGGGAAATTTCGGAGGAAAATCCTAGGACATTTCTCTTAAGATTTAAAGGACAGGACACAGCTGGGAATGGTGATGAACACCTTCCATACAAGAACTCAGGTGGGAGAAGCAGGTAGATCTATTAGATCCCGGCCAGCCTGGTCTATGGAGCACATTCCAGAAGAAATGGGAATCACATAAAGAACTCCTATTTGGATAAATAGATAAATAAATAAATGAGAGAACACTAATGTAGGGGACTGCACATGCATTTTCTGGCCAATCTCTGCTGTCCAAATACTAACTCTTTTTGCCCAGATGGTGCTGAGGGGTTTTGCTCCTGAATACAAATCATATTGAATCAAACAGAGGTGTCTTCTCCATACACTGTTCTACATTTCTTTCTCTTGATGTGATAATAACACCCTGAAAAAGAGCAGTTTAGGAGAGAGTAGAGTCCTTTTCCCTTCTGGGACTGTGTTATATTGTAGCACTGAAAGAAGTGAAGGCAGAAAACATTCTGCTTGCTGGCTTATTCACAGGCTCACACTCAATCTCATGCTTAGCTAGTGTCTTATACAACCAAGTACCATCCTCCTAGAAATGGTGTTGCCCACACTGTTCTGGGCCCTCCTGTATCAATTAAGAAAAATCACTCATGATTGAACCCCAGAAACATGGGGACAGCCCCAAACTATTCAGGATCCCATCTTCTGCCATCAGATCCTTGGCCCGGCCCCTACCAGGATAGGTGAATACTGACCCTTTTCCTGCCCACCCACCCCCGATGGAAGCATTTGATTGGGTAACATCACCCTGTACCGTCCATCAAATCCCCAGAGACCTGTGGGCAGCCACAGACTACGCAGGGCTAAATCTTCCACCACTGAAGCTTTGGCCCCACCCACACCAGGAAAGGTGAGTATAGGGCCTTCTCTTTCCCACTAGGAGAGAAAGCCTAGAGACATAGGGGTACCCTCCTCACACCTCAGAGCATCTAGTACTGCATTTTCCATCATTGGAATCTTGTCCACGACCCCACTGGGAGAGGAAGATCAACGGTCTAAGCCACAGGACGCACCAACACCAATTACAGTAAAAGGGACCACACAAATCCTGGGTCCCTCTTGTAACTACTGGAGGAAGAGATGGGTAGATGACAGTATAAGAACACATTCCCGGAGCAGCTGTTCCGGTAGTGGGATCGGGTACAACAGGCCCTGCTTCTGGGCCTGTATTCCAGTGCTTCTATTGTGTGGAATACTTTGAGAAGAATTGGTATAAGCTGTTCTTTGAATTTCTGGTAGAATTCTGCACTGAGGTCATCTGGACCTGGACTTTTTTTGGTTGGGAGACTTTTTTTTTTATCATTTTTTATTTTAATTTTAAATAGCTTGTTTTACATGTCAATCCCAGTTCCCTCTCCCTCCCCTCCTCCCGCACTCCCTTTCCCCCCCACCCTCCCACCCTATTGCCAATCCTTCCACATAGGGGATATCAGAGTCTGTCATTTTACTCTGGGTAGGGTCCAGTCACTCCCCTAAGAGACCAGGCTGAGAGAGCATCCCTCTTTGTGCTATAGGCACACGAAGACTGTTTGTATACCAGGGATAGACACTGATCCACAGCTCAGGGCCCCATAGGTTGCCCAGGCCTTCTCGCTGACACTCACATTTGGGGGGGTCCAGATCAGTCCCATGCTGGCCTCCCCACTGTCAGTCTGGGGTCCAAGAGCTCTCCCCTGTTCAGATCAGCTGTCTCTGCTGGTTTTGCCAGCCCATTCTTTGCCAATTTGCTCATCACTCCTCTCTCTCTGTCACTGGGTTCCTTGGGTTCAGTTCAGTGATTGAGTGTTTGCCTCTGCTTCCATCAGTCACAGGATGAAGGCTCCCGGATGGTTATAGACATCAAGTTCATTATCAGGAATGGGCATTCGAGGTGGTCTCTCCATTATTGCTTAGCTTGCCAATTGGTGTTATCCCTTTAGATCACTCGAGGTCACAATGATGCCTGATCTGTATTCGATCCTATGATTCCCTCTTCCCTGTATTCTACCCCCACCCCCTCAACTTCCTGTTCCCCCATGACCAACTCTCTTCCTCTTCACCCCCTCTCTTCTTCCCAGGGCCCACTCCCCCTACCCCTCGGCGTGTTCCCCATTCATTCAGGGGATCTTGTCTCCATCCTCTTCTCTTGGGTACTATGCATATATGCATATC